TACTTTGTTAAGGGTTTTACAAATATCTCATTTGATTCACAAATATGGAAGATAAGGCTATTATTATCCTGACTTTATGGTTAAGGTAATTGAGGCAGACACAGGGTAAGTGCCTTGCCCAGAATCACAGAATTAAATATCTGGAGCTGAATTTGACCTCAGATACACCTTACTCTAGGACCAGCACTCTATCCATTGTGCCACCCAGCTGGTTCAAAGTAAAATGTTTATCTAATTACATCATCTTTAAGGTTTCTCTCTTTTCTGTAAAGATACTTTGAGGTGCTTTGTCAGATTCATTAATGAAATCAAGATATATCATGTTAATGGTATTATCTGTTACCTATCAATCTATTTAAAAAAAACCTACTCTTTCCATATACTGTTTTGTATTATTAGTTATATTTTCATGTGTATTTTTTCTAATTTGTTGACTTGAGGAGTTTAATGTGGTGACTTAGATTTATGGACTGCACATCATTTTTTCCCTTTAATTTGCCCTTCCTTTAAACTTCTCTGTTCCTTTTGAGGGCACTATTCTCCTGATCATCCAGGTCTGTAACTTTGAAATCATCCTTGACTCTTCCCTTTCCTTCACCGCCCCCACCCTATACTTGATTAGTTGTCAACTCATATTAACTATATTTCCACTACATCTGTGCAGTTCAGGCCCTCATCATTTATCTGGACTGCTTAAATATTCTCTTAATTTTTACCCTGCTTCCAGTCTATTTCTCCTGCACTTTGTCTCCACATAGCTGCCAGAGTGACTTTTGTAAGACATAGATCTAATCATATTACTCCTCTGCTCAAGAAATTACTCTCATTCTGTTTTCTCTATGACACAATAAGAAGCAAAGTGCTCCTGCAGTTCCCCATTTAAAGTCTTTCACAATCTTGCTTCAACCATACTTTGCAGAATTCTTTTTCATTAATTTCATATATACATACACGGTGTCCCAACTAAGTTGGAAGACTAGACATTCCTTGAATTTGATGTCCCATCTCCCACCAGCATACAATCATTTTATTCATTAAGTCAACAAATATTTTAAAATTACCTACTGGTGGCATGCAGTATACTTCGTACCGTGTTAACAGTGACAGAAACAAAACATCCCTTTCCCTCAAAGAGCTTATCTAAAAGTTGGGGGTGGGTGGAGGGAGCAGGTAGGGATTCTAAGACAAGTAAGTTCAAACATTATACGAAGTAATTTTTGGGAGAGAGGGTGCTAGGAACTAGAAGGATCAGGATAGGCCTCCCTTAGAACATGTACTCGATCTGAGCCTTGAAAGAAGCTAGGGATTCTGTAAAGGAATGATGAGAAGAAAGTGTGCTGTAGGAATGGTAGTGGGTAATAGAATGACATGTAGACATGTATGGGGAACAGCAAGTAGGTCATTTGAATTGGATTATAGAATTTGTAGCAGGGAGCAGTTTATAGAAAGCCCAGCAGGTAGACTGGAGCCAGATTGTGAAATGCCAAATAATGGAGTTTATATTTTAATCTAGAATTAATAGAAAACCATTAAAGCTCCTTGAACAGTAAAATGACATGATTAGACCTATATTTTAGGGTTGTCAATTTGGCAGTTATATGGGAGATAGAGTAGGGAAAGAAGAGACTTGAGGCAGGGAGACCAGTTAGGAAGCTGTTGCAGTAGCTCAGGTAAGAGACAATGAACTTGAATGTTGTTGGTGTGAATTGAGAGAGTGGGATGGATACCAGATCAGATATACTGCTAGAATCAATAAAACTTGGCATCTGATTGAATTTGGGGTTGAGAGAGTGTGAATAGTTAAAAATGACTAGTTGGTGCTATTCTGGGTGACTAGACAGAGGTGATGTCCTTGACAGAAATGAGGAAGCTAAAAAAAGTTCTTTTTTGGGGTCAGGGAGGAAGATAAATTCTGTTTCAAAGAGTTTATGGTACCTATCAAATATCTATTTACAAATGTCGAAAAGGCAGTTGGTGGTAATTTTGGGAGATAAGCACACCAATGGCATCTCAAGTCTGTGGCATTATAGAATCACCATTGACCCCCAGGGCTACTTTTAAAAATCTGAGAGGGGAGATATAGCCAGCTTGGGGAACTACTCATTAATGGAACTGGGTTTGTAGAGGATGCCTCAGTTTACATGGGCTACATCAGATTAAGAAAATATCATCTCCAACTTCTCACGTTTCCAGTTCATTTTCCATGTAGCTGCCAAATTGTTCATAAATACAGTTCTGACTATGTCAGTCCCTTGTTCAAGAACCTTGAGGATAGGATAAAAAAAACCAAACTCTTTTCTTTGACATTTAAAACTCATCATAATCTGGCTTCATCCTGCTTTTATAGGAATGTTGCATATTTCTCTCCATGCATTGTGTTACATCCAAACAGATCCATTTTCTGTTCTTTGAACATGCCATTACGTCTCCTGTCTTTTCTTTTGTCCAGGCTGTCACCCATGGCTAGCATGAAATCTCCCTTCTGTCTCATGCAATCCCAAGCCTACTTTAGTGCTAGTTCAAATGCTGCATCCTACAGGAGGCCCTTCATGACATACCACACCATCTCCTTACACACCCTTGCCATCTACCCTCCATGGTGTAGAAACCTTTGTCCTTGAGTGCCAGGAATGATTTGTTTTATTTTTCTTTTTTTACCTTTGTATTCCCAGCATCTGTAGCACAATGCCTTCCACAGAGTAGACATAAGGTGTCTTCTTGAAGGCATAATAAGAGAAGAAATTATTCAGTTAATGCTGAAAAGTTAGCTTCCAAAGCTCTTTTAACTAATTCCACTTCATAGACTCATATAACACTCAGTATAGAATAGCAAAGGCATATTCTAATTTTTTTTTCTTGCTGGGAAAATGCTTTTCTATAGCAATTAACCAAATTTGTATATATAGGTATTTTAAATTGCCCCTCACCTCTTTTATGTTTTTGCTAAATAAGTGTAATTATATTGCCATTGATGTCTATTCCAAATAAAATTCTCTGATAGATATATTGCAGTAGATTTGTCTCAGTGATACAAATGTGATTTTAACTTAGCATTCCAAAATGAAATAATTTTTTCTTATGCATTACATAATTTTATTTATTGACAGTGAGAAAGTTCTGAAAGTTCAGCCTTCCCCAGTAATGGTGAACTAAAAGGACATTAAAAGGAAATTACAGTTTAGGTTGAAAATAAAATAACATGTTGTATATAAAAGGTATATTGTATATCAAATATATAATACACTTTGTATATAAAAGGTGCCAGTAAGTATTTGTTGGTTTTAAAATCTATTAATTTAAAGAAAATTACAAAGTATTTTTACCTGTCCTTTAAGAAATGGAAATTCTTGCTCCTTCTAAAAAAAACTAATGATAATTAAAGATATTTTCTGTTTATATAATATCTTTTAAAAGTAGGTTTTAGCAAATATAATTTTACATTTTTAAAGTAAAATCAAACTAACTAGAAGGCCATATTGATATTCACTTCTGCCTTTCAAGAGGAACAAGCATAACTTGTGTACTAATGACTCCTATTATATTTGTTGTTATATTTCTGTCTTGAGATCTGCTGTAACTCTGAGAGAGATCTTTTGATGATTTATACTTTGGATTACTTCCTGTCATCAGAAAATAATAGCTTTTGACTGTTATTTAGTATTAGATTCACATGTAGTACTGTGCTCATTATCAAGTATTTTCTTTGGCAGTAGTGAAGAATTTGTTTTAAAGTATTGTGTCCTTATATAAAAAAGAAATAAGACTTGGTTTTGTTGGTGAAAATAAAAGTAAAACTTTTCTACTAATTATGATATAATCTGTTTTCCGGTTATAGTTTTTGGTGGTGGTGGTATTGCTTGTATATCGTTATTTGTCATGACTATTTTCTATAAATATTTCTATTTATGCTGTATATTTGCCTTCCAACAATTGACAAAAACAGAACCTTGAATAGAGTAGATGCTTAATATTTGTTGAGTGAATATTTTTGGTAAAAATTTACTTTTAATATCTGATACTCACATTTGAAGTTTAATTACAAGTCCCAAGAAGTTTTAAAACAACAAAAAATGATAGTTTTACATTTAAAGTTATTTCAGAAATCAATATGATGTGGCAAATGTTTCAAAGTTGAGAAATTTTTGTCTTACATATATAAAATACATACTTATGTGTGTGTATGTGTATATATATATATGTATACATATACATATATGTGTGTGTGTCTTTGTGTATATATATGATACATAGGTGTGTATATATGTATATGTGTGTGTGTATATAACACATTATAGTGATAAACTATCCTTATTTTCTCCAAGCTGTTAGAATTTAAGGCTTGCAGAAAACAAAGTGAGCAATGACAACTTTCTAATACAGAAATTAAACTGCTTAATTTAATTAGTTAAAACTGTTTTATTACTACTTAAACAGTGGTCTGTAATATATATCTATATACATGTGTGTATATATATGTATATATATATACACACATGTATATGCCTCTGTGTGTGTTGCACACACTTATAGTCATCCATCGTTTCTTATGAATTGCCTTGGGACAAAAGTTTTAAAAGATCTTGATATCTTAATGGGTCACAATTCTTACTTTGTGAGCCTTTCCAAAGTTAATGTGTTTTATCAACATATGAGAATCTTGTACTTTTTCCCTTAATAAACTTTTCTCCTGTCAGAATTATTTCCTTCTTTCAATTTATTTTGGTTGATTTTAATTGCTTTTAAAGTGTGAACTGATTTATCACCAACACCTAATCCCTTATACCGGAGACTTACTGTTACTTCTCACTCTCAACCTTGCTATGCCATTTAAGAATTACTTAATTTCAGTGAAATCTGTGTGGTATTTAATAGAATTTTATTAATTTGGTGGGTAATTTCTTTGATTTTACTCCTGCCCCAATTGTATGTAATACTATACTAGCTTTATTAAATGCGTTTACTGTGTTTTGTTCTTACTTACATTTTTTTTTATTGATTAGCAGTCTTACTTCATTGCCCCTGATTTAACTGGACTACCAACAATACCTGAAAGTGTAAGTATTTTCAAAACAATTTTCTCCTTTGAAATTTTGTGAACAGAGCTTAGAGAAGGCATTTTTGTGCCCTAGGCAGGGTTTGAAAATTATGTTCCCTCTATCTCTAGTGAAGCCTTTGAGCTTTCAATGTAACACATGCAGCTTGATTTATCACAAAGTAAATACTTACATATGTTGCAGAGTAAAATTTCCTGACATTAAAAAATATATGCCTTTATTAAAATGAATAATAACAACTCCCTTCATCACATGTGCCCCAATATACATTGCATGGTACTCAGCAATTTTACTTGCCTAGCCTTAGTCCTGGCTATGCTTGGAAATGGAATTTGATATACAGGGATTGAAAAAACATCATAAGGTGTTTCGAGGAGACATTATTCTCAGGGAAGAGATGCTTCCTTCAGAAGCTAACAATCTTGGTTCTATCCCTGAGGCCCTTGCCCTTCTTTTCAATTTTCTTTTCCTTTTCCTATTAACCAGGTGTGTCTGAATCTGGGTAAGGGTGTAAAAATGATTTACTTTCCACTTATTTAGGAGAGGTGAGCAGTAATACTTATTCTTTCATTATTTCCTAATGTCTCTTTTATCAATTAGATTAGATTCCTTCTACTACATATATAGCTTTTATTTCTAATGTATAGGAATGAATAGAGAAATTAAACGAAGAAGATAGAAAAGTACATTTGCAATTTCTGACATGACCACCCTATTTTTGAATATCTATATTGGACTGTGTTGAAATAATTAATGTTCTGTGATATGATTTCCCCTTTTTAAATTTTAAATAAGAAGCTTTTTTGTATGTCTTGAATTTTGTAAGGCAATGCAAAATATTATGATTTAAATGAAACAAAATTTAAAATGTTGATATTTAAAATGAAGCTTAACTAGGAAAATTTTATAGTACCACAATATTTTTTAAAAATTAGGTCTTGTAATATTTGCAGCTTTCTGTATATGGAATAATACTTTGCATTGCTACTGACTGTGCATTTCTTTTCCTTGCTCATGTCTCTTCAGGTGTAAAATGTTGTGCTTATTTTATGATGTTTCAGGTTATAGAGTAAACTTAATAAAGGGTTTATTGTGTGGGGGGGTGAACTATTTTTGCATAATTGCAAAGAAAAAAGAACTTTTTCTCTTCCTGCCTTTTGCATGATTTTTCGTTTTGTCTGAAAGTGAAAAAAACAGTTACAACAAAAATAGTTAAATGGAAACATAACTGAAGGAAAAGAAGGCAATAATAAATGCTATCTGATATATTTAGGTTTTCATTTGTTCTTCTGCTCTTTAAAAAAATGATCTAATATAACTGATTTCTTTCCCCACTGTCCAATCACATTTGTCAAGGGTGGATGACTTTATTGAATGAGGAAAAATTATAAATAATATTCTATAGTTTCCAGTTTATTAATACCAAGACAAAAAATAGCATAACCATAAATGTGTTAGTTTTAGGATCTGCCAAACCCAAATAACCCATCTGCAAAAACTGTGTAGCAAGCTGCTTAGAGATCCCAGTATTCTTACTGTGGATCTGAGACAGCTCATCAAAGCCCTTAAATCCCTTAATAGTTTCTGAACCCTTGTGTACTGTGTATCATGGGCCAGTTACCACCTGTTACGTTTTCCCTTGAGACTCCCTGACAATACTTCAACTTATACACCCTGGTCCTTTCACTGCAGTGTGCTTCTCTGTGTTACAAATGACAGATGCTAGTTACTACCCTCCCCCAACCCCTGCCTTCCCCTTTGCTGATAAATAAATGTACAGCTTAGAAGGCTAATTACCTGCTTCAAGTATTGAGATTATTCCAACCCCCCATCTCTCCCAGCAAAGGCTACTTTTCTGGAACTTTAAAACAAACAGAAATTGTAGCAAACTGTAACAGAGAATATACACCTTCACATTTGTAATAAATTAATTTTTACTTAAAATGCAATAAATTATGTGTTTTAGTTATATATGAATAAGAATATGAGTGAAAAAAGGACAAGCCAATAAATGACTCCCATATACAAACTAATTCCCCATTTAGTACTTTGATATTTACATAAAACTATTATCTAAACAATTGGTTGCTGTCTTCAACAGTGGAGATCACAGCCCATTCATGCTGTCCCATCCTGTAGGATTTGAAAGGACATCGATCATATCCTTTCATAGTTTTTCATAAGAGTTTCTGCTCAAGTATTAGGAAAACTTCCTCTAAGTCTTTTCATATTTTGTAGATATCAATTTAACATTTAGATTATACATCTGGTAGAAATCTTCAAAAGTACAGGTTAAATAATCAGTATTTGGTACTTATCATTATAACTGACATTTTTAGAATACGTTAAAGCTTGAAATTTGTTTTATGTACACAAAACGGAAAGTCACAAGAAGAGCTTTGAAAATGGACCAGTTGTGTTGGAAGACTTAGTGAATTTAAATGTAGAAAACTTAAAGACAATGTGCTATATTAACTTAGGAGTCAGGAAATCTGGGTTGTAATCCCTCATCTGAAACTAGCTATGTGACTCTCATTTTTTGAACCTGTTTCCTCATTTTTAAAATGAGGGAAGGGGTATGACTAGATTATATCTGTGGTGCCTTCCAAGTATAAAGTGCTGTATAATTCTAAGAAACTGTTTTTTATTTTGCATTTGTCTTTTGTGACTAAGTCAAAGATGATCAGCAGCCATCTTCATTGGTTCACCACTGACCCTTCCGGTCTAAATTATGTCATAGAACAAGAGGTTTGGTCTCTCTCATGATTGCTAAAATTGCTAGATTGTGCTGGTGAACTATATAGTTACATGGGGTTGGGGTGGAGGTATGTGTAGTAATTGACAACTACATATTTAACTGCCTTATTTTCTGATTTAACTAAACACTGTTTAAGTTACACCTTACTGTACAGTGCTGCTATTGTCAGGTTGCTCCTCTACCATAGCCAGTTTCTTCTTCACTTTTTGCTTTTTGCTTACACTTAGGATTTTTTAATGTAAAAAGAATATTTGTTATACATTTTTAATACTTTTAGGGAAGAAATTTCATGTTAATAAAGGTGGGCATGAGAAAGACCTTTTTGTGTTGAAATATATTCATAGTAAAGTTTACTATATTAGGGGAGGATTTTTATGGACTTAGGAAAAATAACTGAAACTTTCCTGAAGTATTGCTTAATATACCGTAGATTTTAGTCTAAGGGAGATTTTATGAATTGAATCCAAGGGATTTTAGTGATCTCCTCATTATTAAATTAGGTAGCACTAACATGCAAAACACTCCCCCCAAACATCAGTCTAGGAAAGCTTCCCAGTATACTATAAAGTAAATATATGTGTGTTCATACAATAGTAGTATAGTTTCCCTAATTTGACACAGGCAATCAAGTAATATTAAATAATATTACTTTTATGAATATCTATTTGTTCTTAAGAGTACTTTTTAAAAAAAATTCTTTTTTTATACAGATACAAAAAATACACTTTGTATCCCCTGTTAACATGTAACTGAGTATTTTTTTTTACTCATCCAGAGAAATCTTACAGAATATTTTGTTGCTGTGGATGTGAACAATATGCTGCAACTGTATGCCAGTATGTTACATGAGAGGCGCATCATCATTACTGCTAGCAAATTAAGCACTGTAAGTACTTCACACATCTCCTTTTAAGTAGGCTATATTGAGCTTTTCACAAAGAAGACCTACAGACCTCTGAAGATTTAGATATGTTCCATGTGTACTTATAAGACAATATCTACATACTTTTTTGCTATATGGTTTTAATCTGGCTCTTGAAGTACAAAAGTCTGATTTATATAAGGCCTACTCAGATACATTAAGTCAGGTTAATTATTTTTTCTTATCAGGAGAAGAGACTTCTTTAACTCTCCAGAGTTCATTTCAGTGCCTCCTACCTTATAAAGAATTCTCAAGAGCTATTATGAGATCTTTACTATTCACTTGTGGCTTTTTCCATTGGAGCTACTTGAAAGAAATCAAGGGGCCATGATAATAGCTACTATCCTAGCCTGGTAATAGGTGGATTCATCTTTGTTCCAGAGTAGTGCTTTGGGAGTGTAATAGCTCTGATTTGGAGCAGCTCTTCAAACTGATAATAACTTACAACTCAATAGCATTTTTTATTATAGATTTTATGCTATTGTCCTTCCTAAAATGTTCTATGTAAAGGCCTTTCTTTTTTAGCATAGATTATTTAAATATCAGAATTTTTACATTGTTTAAAAAAATGTTGACAAGTACTTTGCACATTAGTTTTTATTTCAAGTGATAAAATGGTAGTAGAGTTAACATTGTTATTTTATAAATGGATAGATATTTTAAGATAATTTATTTGGCAAATATTTATTGTTTAGTTATATATTTTCTCTTTTAAAGCTGTGGTCATTTTATAAATTATTCATCATTACTTATATAAGCACTTAGTAATTGTTCATATTTTGATTTCATATAGTAGAAATACCTTACTCATTTTATAGAATTTTGAATTAGAAATTACCTTAGAGGTCCCATAGTCCAGCCCCTTAATTCACCTGTTGGACAACTCAGTTTCCTTTGCTGGATTGTAATCCAGAGTGGCCATCTCCTAGGACTCTTTTTTTGGACCTTTTACTATTTCCCCTCCATACTATTTATACAGTAAGTCAATAATGATGAGATCACCAAATAAAATAATTTAAAGGGAGAAGAGAAGAGGGCTTACAGAACAGAGCCCTGAGCAACACCCATGGTTAGCAGATTTGACCTAGCTGAAGATCCAGCAAAGGAGACAGTAAAGGACTTGTGAGACAGGAAGGAGAACCAGAATAGGGTAGTGTTATGAAAATCTAGAGAGAAGAGAATATGAAGGAGAAGATGGTGATAGTGTTAAAGGTTACAAAGAATTGAAGAAGGATGAGAATTGAGAAAAGGCCATTAGATTTGGCAGTTAAAAGATTGTTAGTAAGTTTGGAGAGAGCACTTTCAGTTGAATATTGATATCAGAAACCAGGCTTTAAAGAGTTAAGTAGAGTTAGATGAAAAGAAGAGGAAGCACCTATTGTAGATGACCTTCTCTAGGAGGTTTAGCTGCAAAAGGGAGGCGATATGGGACGATAAATGGGATGGATGAAATAAAGGACCTCATCAGCTCCCATGGATTATCATCTCTATAAAGATGATTCCTCAATCTATTTTTCCTCCCCTAACCTTTGTTCTCACCTTCAGTCTTACATATCCAGTTGCCTGTCAAACATCTGGAACTGGATGTAACATAGACTTCTTAAACACATGTTAAAAACATAACTAATTTTTTTTCTCCTACTCGCCAAATTCTTTCTTCTTGACTTCCCTTTTATTGGTTTGTTTACTGTTTTTCACATAAGACACTCCATCTAAATACTTCTGGCATTTTCATTGACTGTTTACCAAACCTGGAATTCTTTCTCTCCACATCTCTTCCTCCTGGCTTCCCTGGCTTCTTCTAAGTCTCAGCTGAAGTTCCACCTTCTACAAGAAGTCTTTCCTTAACCTTAGTGTCTTCACTTTGAGACTATTTCCAGTTTATTCTGTCTATATCTTGTTTGTACATGATTGTTTGCACATTTTCTCCCATTAGACTGTGACTGTTTTTTTGCCTCTTTTTGCATCTCCAGAGCTAAGTATAATACTTAACACATAATAGGCATTTTAAAAAATGCTCCTTGATTGAATGTCAAGGCCACCCTATGTGAGGTTCTCTTACCCTCATCTCCCTATTTCATTCCTCAAAATCTCTCTCTACCTTCCCCATTTTTCTTCCTCTATAGACACAGAGAAGTTGTAACTCTGGTAGAATGGGGACTTAGAAGTAAGCACTCTAGACTCTTAATCCACTTCTCTCTCATATCAGGATGATAAAATTTTTTTGAGGAAAGGACATATAAATAGTTATAGGTATAAAGGAAAAAATGAATGTGAAGTTTTTCAGATGCTAAAAATGTTTTGTTGAGTATTTCTCACATTTTGAAATTGTGCTATTTTATATAAAACATTTTAACCAAAAATAATCACTTAGGCAAAGGATAGTGTTGTTAAAAACAATACTTTTTTGTAATAAATTATGGGGGTTGTGAGAAAACATGCCAATTTGTGCACTGTTTGTTAGTGGAGCTGTGAATTGGTTTAGCCATTCAAAAAAGCAATTTGAAACTATACTCAAAAAGTTAACTGAACTTTGCATACCCTTTGACCCAACTGTACCACTACTAAGCTTATGCATCAAAGAGATCAAAGAAAGAAGAAAAGGACCCATGCAGAAAACATGTTTGTAACAACTCTTTTTTTGTAGTAGCCCCAAACTTAAAACCAAGAATGGCTAAACAAATTTTGTTACCTGAATAAAATTGGAATATTTATTGACAAAATGGACAATTTTAGAGGAAACTGGGAAGACCTTTATGAACTGATACATGATATAAGCAGAGCTAGAATGCCAATTTATATAACAGCAGCATTATAGAGAAAAACATCTTTGATAGTCTTTAGAACTCTGATAAATATAGTGATAATTCTAAAGCATTTAAACATGACACCCATCCTTTGACATAGAATCAGTGGACTTAAATTCAAGGGACATGTATTTTTTAATATGGCCAAGATGGGAATTTATTTTGATGGACTATGAATATTTGTTAAGAGAGATTTAGTTTTCATTTTTAAAATTATTCGTTAGCAGGCAGTGAGAGGTAGAGATAATTTATAAACATAGATACATATAAATGTCTTTAAATAGAGTACATTTTAGTGAAAGGAAATACTTCTATTAAATTTCTTAGTACTATTAATATTGTTGGATATTCTAAGATTAATGAGTTTAGTCATGGCAAAATAATCTCAATGATAAGACATCATTGCCTTACACTTTTATAAATATTTATACTTTTAAAAGCATTTCCATATATATATATATATTTTAATTTCAATTCTCAATGAACCAATAAGATAGCTTATTCAATTTAACAAAGATAATTAATGGCAGTAACAGGAGTAGAGCTCAGTGAAGCTGCCTCCTATCTCAGTTTTGTTTTCATTAGGTCATATTTAATTCATTTGATTCAAAATATAGTCACAAAAATAAAACAATAATTTTTGATAATTTCTGAAGGCTTAATAAGTTACTTCATATTTCAAAAGGTGACATGATCAGATTTGTCACAACCTTATATTTCACAGATGTCCTAGATCATGAAGTTTCTATAACTGTAGTTATTTATAGATGATATTAGAATTACTCTGAAGACTTAGTGTTTAACTCTTACTGCCAGTTTTAATTGTATTTACATATTTTGAAAAATGTCTATCATGTTCTTAGCAAAAGTCAATTCTAGGAGCAGCTAGGTGGTGCAGTGGATAGAGCACAGTCAGGAGGACCTGAGTTTAAATCCAGCCTCAGACCAAACACTTGACATTTACTGCTGTGTGACCCTGGGCAAGTCACTTAACCCCAATTGCCTAAAAATAAATTTAAAAAATAGAAAAAAAGTCAAATCTAGACTATTTAATTTTTCTGTCTTCCATCATTATAAGAATTCTTTCTTTAGTAATTCCTTAGTACTTAATCAATCTGGTATAGAATTAATTATTTTTAAATGATGCTATTTACTTCTTTTTGTGTGATTCTTACAGTAAATGAGTTGGATTAGATGGCCTTTGTTGTCTCTTAAAGCCCTGAGATTCTGAAGTTTTAACACTTTTTTCAAATTGATAAATCATTTACTTTTGTTAATTTCATGTAAGATCCCGAGACCTTGCAAATATTTTTAGCTTGACCTTGAAAAAAACATTCCTTCCTCTCCCCTAAATGATTTACATTTGTTCTCTTTAGAACTACTAAAGAGTAAAAAAAATCAAATTGTCAGCTAGTATTTATTTTTAAGTATAGTTAACTACTTTATTAGAATAGACTGATGTATATGTTTGTATGTCTATAACTTAACACTTTTATTTGTGAAGCATTTTTAAAATTATAAAATTCATTTTAGAAAACATTACTATCACATTCATGATCAGTAAGTTTTGTTAAAAAGGACATTTCACCTTAACAGTTTTCCTTGATAATTAATTTATTTTTAGTTTTCAACATTCACTTCCATAAGATTTTGATTTTTAAATTTTCTCCCCCTCCTGCTCCTCTCTCTCCCAAGATGGTATGCAATCTGATACAGGCTCTACTTATACATTCATATTAAGCATGTTTTCCCATTAGTCCTGATGAAAAGAACAATTAGAACTAATGGGAGGAACCATGAGAATGAAGCAATAAAACAAAACAGCAAAGGAAAAGGAGAGCAAATAGTATGCCTCCATCTGAGTTCAGACTCCATAGTTCTTTCTCTGGATGTGGATGGCAGTTACCACGGTGAGTCTTTTGGAGTTGTCTTAGATTCTTGCATTGCTGTGAAGAGCCAAGTCTATCAAAGTCAGTCATCTCACAATGTGGCTGTTACTGTGTACAATGTTTTCCTAGTTTTGCTCATTTCACTTTGCATCAGTTCATGTAAGTCTTTCCAGGCTTTTTTGAAGTCTGCCTGCTCATCATTTCTTAATAGTATTCCATTACATTCATATACCACAAGTTGTTCAGCCATTCCTCAATTGATGGGCTT